TCGAAAGGTCGCCGATGGTGCGACCGCTGCGCGCCTCCATCGAGGTACGAGGGTCGTACACCTCCACCAATAATGTTACGAGTAACTTGTTTAATGATCTATTTACAGCGCACAGAACTCGACGAGCAAAATGGCGCCAGACCAGCATCCAACGAAAACTGACTTCGTCCTCCTCTTTCATGCAGCCGTGTTTAGCGGCTGTTTTGTATCAATATTGTTGCTACAAAGTGGGAGCTTGCCAGTGACCGCTAGCAGTGAAATCAATTCCCTTCAAAGCACTCAGCCCAACGCAGTGACCCATCAGGTTATGTAGCAGCTGAGATATCCCCTGTGACGTACCCTGCCCCAATGCACAGGTCACGCTTGTAATATATCTAGGTGATGCTGACTGAGCATTTTGATACGCCTGTCCCATCTTATTTTTTCATGGAAATTCTTTTTCTGTGTTATCATTCATCACGGCCGATGCCACGCAACGAGCAGCCATTTCATAGCAACACCACCAAATGGGTAGTGCCAACAGTGAACGGAAGAATGTCCCTTCTTTCCCCTCACATTGAGGCTGTGCCATCTACGTATCATGCTATCTCGGTTTCGAGACAATTTGCCACATGCTCGTGTGTTCCAGATCATATTGCTCATGATAGTACACCAAAATCCAAGTACACGACTGTTCTAAAGTTTTGCCCCATTTTTTCAAATACACCTGGTGTGGCCGGGAATCTAACCCGCGTCCTCGAGCCTTAATTGCAGCACAACACCCCACAGACTATGCTGCGGGCAACAATTGAACTCGGGGCACAGAAAGGAGCAAAGTGTCGTCGAAATGGGGTTTTCTAGCAATTTTCGGAAATTTGAAACTGTAAACCAGGGGTCGAAAAATAGTTTCATTGGAGATTGTTATAACAGACTGAATATCTACTTCACCATAACGTTGGTCTTAACGGTGGCGAAGATAACATAAACGTATGCTAGATTATGTGAAAGAGCCCTTAGTTCTTTATTTCTGATTGGAACGTTTTATCCCTCCAAGGCTTTATCTATGACACAGCGAGCAAGTTGGGGAGCATTTTCATGCCTTATCTTTATCGCGCGCACGCGCAACATATCGGAGAAAGCATGTTTCGGTTGTTGATGGCTGAAAAAAATGGGTCACAACAGTCGGGCATCACCCGCTTTCTAACGTTGCCTTCAGAACTCAGTAATTGCTCAGGTTTTAATTTTTAAAGTCGCCAAAACCACGACACGATACGCGACACCGCAATGTATGGCTCTGAAAAAGCTTGGGTTTCTGTAACACGCACCTGCATCTAAGTGCCCGGGCCTCCATTTCTTGGCCTCATTAAAATTCTGCCGTCATCGCCGGAATTTCATCTCCCAAACAGCGGGTAAGCGGTCAACATAGGCCGAAAAAACTTGTGAAGCACACTCAGACTCCCTCAGGAAATATTATTACCCTTGGGACTCTCTCAGGCTGAAATTCACAAAACGTTTTCACAGCTGGACACACTCTGACTCATGAAAATATTGCTCACTTGCACTCCCCCAGACTCACCGTCTATTCGAGTCCGATTGAGCTGACCATGGATTGTGTTAGCGCACAACTGGCTTCTTTGATCCTGGTGTCAATGCACCTAAAAACCAAGATTTCGCGTAATCGGTGCTCTATTTGGCACCTTTTCATCTTGTACCTCCACAGAAGAGATATCACACGAGATATTGTTATGAATAATTATTGGGAAAGAGTTTCCAGCTGCGGGGTGAGGAGCTTGCAGCACCCCCTTCCTTTTCATAATATACCCACGCCTTTCATAAAAGCATATTGAGCTGGCTTCAGAATGTTGGTGCTTTGAAAAACAGCGCCGTGTAAGTTGGCGTGAGTATAAACGTCATAAACGTCAGCCGCCGTAAGGCTCACAGCAATGCATAAGTTAAGTAAAGCAGTCATGCACCATAACCACCTGACCACAACAGCGAGTTGTGTTCACCAGATCAGTGTTTTGTTACACTACATTCTATGGCTCACTCCCCTTAACCACAATATGAGCCGCGCCGCTCGAAGCTGCGCCGGATTTCGGTCTCACGGAATTCTTCTAATACTCGAGTGTTCGCGCATTTCGTCCCCATCGAAATACATCTATCATGGCGTCCTTGAGTGTGGCAGCGCCAAACCCTCCAAGACAGAGTTTCTCAAAACTGTCTGGCCTTGGGGCATCCCAACGGCTTTCTCAGAGTGGCGCGGAACCCATGATTTTCCTCAGCATGAAGAAAAGGAGACAGGGCAAAGAGTTACCGCCCCTCGACGAGCGCAACTACTGTGCTATCACTGCGAGCGTTGTCCTGTTCTTTTTTATTTGATATTGAAGGTAATCGTCTTTGCGGTAGAACTCTGATAATACATAGACTTGTGATTCACTTGGCGCTGCTGAGCCAGTCGCGTAAAGCACACCCCAACAATACATTGCATCGAATCCCGACTGCGGCGGCCGCATTTTCAATGGAAGCCAAAATGCTCGAGGCTCGTGTGCTAGGATTTAGGTGCACATTAAGGAACCCCAGGTGGTCAAAATTTTCCTATCCCTGCACTATGGCGTCTGTCATAATCACATGGAGGTTTTGATACGTTAAACACGCAGCAAGAATATATATATATATATATATATACATATATATATATATATATATATATATGTATATATATATATATATCATTACATGCTTAGATGCAGAACAAAGCGTAAGCATTGTTGCTACGATAATGAAGTGCCGGACGCACAGTAGCCTGTTTTACATTTTTCTAAAAGAACTCCAGTCGCACAGTGAAATGTACGTCAACCAATACACCGGTCGTAAGGCGAAACCCGATTGCTTGTCTAGACCACAGCCGCCACAAAGTAACCAGTCTTATGCGTATCAAAGACCTTGTTGTGCGTCGGGATGTGAAAACCGACATTAAGCAACGGGAAATCAGCGTGCATAAAAACTATATGCCTAGTGATCGTCGACGCACCATGAGCCAAGAATAAAGCGCCAAAGTACCCGCTAAACTCTTTTGAACTATAGTTTAAACGCTGAAAAACCTGAATTACCAGCGGTCCGCGCGTGGTCACCACGGATCCGCAAATCGTGAAAATTTCTCACAACCTTTCGTGCTGCTACAACGGGGGTCTCTCGCCTCGCACAGTCACCAGATATGCGGAAGCCGATATAGTCGACACGCTAACAGAGGTGGTGACCTTGCTGCAGGTTGCACTTTTTGCTGCGCGTGTCTCGGCAAGCCGCCTGCTGCAGCCACACTCAAAGGACGTGACAAGACAAAGGGACACTAAAATGAAACTATTAGCTTGCACAGATAAAGTGGGACGACTTAGGGATAATAGTTAATGGAGAGTATCTCCGTAACCTGCGATTCGCTGATTACATTGCTTTCAGTCTCTCAGGGGATAAATTACAGCTCATGATCGCTGAACTAGACACGGAAAGCAGAAGAGTAGTTTTGAAAATACTGTGCTCAAACTGAAGTAATGTGCAACAGTCTTGCACTGAAAACAACGCATTGCGATAGGCGGAAAACCGCTAGAAGTTGTAAAGGAAAATGTTTACATAGGACAAGTAATAACCATTGAGTCGGACCATGAAAGTGAAGTGAATAGTAGAAAAGGATGAGGTAGATCACATTCAGCAAGCATTCTCAAATCATTAATGGTAATCTGCCACTAACCCTTAAGAGAAAGGTACATAACAGCTGCATCTTGCCAGTACTTACCTACAGAGCATAAAACTAGAGGCTTACAAAGAGGGTTTAGCTTAAATAGAAGGCGATGCAGCAAACGATGAAAAGGGAAATTATAGGTGTAACCTAAGAGACAAGAAGAGAGTATAGGGGGTCAGGGAACAAGCAGAGGTGGAATATATAACAGTTGAAATAAAAAAGGGGATATGGGCCGGACACGTGGAACGTAGGCAGGATAAAAGGTGGTCTTTAGGTGCAACTGACTGGATTCCCAGAGAAGGCAAACGCATGAAAGAGAGACAGAAGAATAGGTGGGCCCATGAGATTAAAAAGTCCGAAGGTACAACGTGGCAGCAGAAAGCACAAGACTGGGTTGATTGGCCGATCATGGGAGAGGTCTTTGCCCTGCAGTGGTCGGGGTCAGGCTGACGATGGCGGTAATTTAGTCTGAAAACACTAGAGTCTTTAATTTCATTACCACAGCTTTATTACTAGGAGAAAAAATCTGTGAAGAGCCTTGCCTTTTCAATTACCCGCCAGAAACGCTGACGTGAACGTTACAGATTTTTGATATGTCATTATCGTATTTTCACCTGAAACTTGATATGAAGCCCCTAGCTCGCGAAGACTACAATGTAGCTTAGTTCTCTGGAACACTGTAGGTCCCGCAGAAGTACTAATGAATGTTTGGGCTTAACATTCTGAAACCACCATATGATTATAAGAGATGCTGTAGTGAAGGGCTCCGGAAATTTCTACCACCTGTTGTTCTTGAACGTGCCCCTAAATCTAAGCACACGGGCCTAGAGCATTTTCGCCTTCACCTAAAAGGCAGCTGCCACGGCTGGGATTCGATCCCGCGACCTACGGGTCAGGAACCGAGTGCCTTAGCCACTAGACTACCATGGCGGTGTTCCCGTAAACATATCTGATATCACGATGACTGGTGAAGCAATTTGAAGTGTGCGCCAACTTCCCATTTTCTGTTCACATGTTTTCTCCCTGCCCAAGCGTATCTTCGTAGCAACCGTGGAATATTTTGTAACAATGAAGTCATTAATACAAGAATAACCGGACTTCCTGTTAGTGTCTTTAAGTGACTCGCCAACTTTCCTGAAGTAATCCAAGTATGTGAGGTTCAAAATAGGTACGCTCAAACGACATGAAAGCTCGATGAACTTCGTGGATTTGAAGGCATTTGAATAATCAGTTTAAAATGCTACGTGCCGGCAGGTTATTGTCAGAATGAAATACCTCGGAGACGTGCTGATATGGGCACTTTGTATTTATTTTAAATATTTTTAAATCTCTGCGACAATCTCGCAGCGTCAAGCATATAAAAGGCGCATTGACATACATAGACAAGGCGAATATGAAATATCACTGAACATAGACAAGAGCTTGCATGAAGTAAACAATCATGAAACAATAACACTAATGGGATTTCTCTTGTTAATACATCCGCGAAATACAATAGATTAGCCTTGACGTTGCTGAAATATCTTCTTGATTACAAGATATACATATATAAAATATTTTAATGAATGTTAAATGACAGCCTGCGATAGTGAATGTTATAACATGTACAGTCGCTTACGATATACGGCAACGCGAGCGCTTGGCGGAATCGCCATATGTGCTGTCTAGTGGCGAGCCGTCTGCGATCGACAACACTGCCCTGGCTACGCAATCATCAGAGTTTTTTATGGCAGAGTGTTTCGAGAGGTATCCATTGTCTAGCCCTCGTCTCTCAGCGCCTCCAACTTGATCCTCAAGGCCGGAGTTTGTCTTAGAACCCCGTATGCAGCCTGGCTACGGGGCGAGCTGTCTTTGCCCGCGCCATAGTGCGCCGCGCACGTCAGAAACCCCGTGTTGCGGCTGATGACGTCTTCAACATGGAACCACTCCTCGTCTACGCCATCCGTAGGTGCCCGGAGACGCAACGTGGTGAGGGACTTGTTTTCGTGTATTTCCCCGGCAAGGAGGCGAATAAAACTGTCGTTTTCGTCTGGGTCACAAGACACAAAAGAGACCTCAGACAGATTCTCACTGCTGACAATTTCGTCAACGAAGAACCACAAGTTCTCGTCCCCTAGATAAAATCCGCTAAGTCGCAGTGCTCGAAGGGTCGTGTTATCGGAGATAACATCCAGAATCACGCTGCGAGGAGGGTTTGCCGATTTAAGTGTGACGTTGAGATCCGGCCGATTGGAACCTATCAGCTGAAGGGCTCTCAGCGAGACGGCGCTACTCAAGCACTTGCTCAGCTTGTGAAATGTTGGGACGTCTGACAGGACCGTTTGCGTCAAGAGGAGCTGGAGCATAGTCACTTGTTTCCAGGTGCATGCCAGGTGGACCGTGCTTTCGAATGCTCTCGGACTTGGATGGTCGACAGAACTGATGGCGATTTTACGCAGCGCTTCCGGAAACTCCCGCAGCTCAGCTAGTGTTGAAGAGTCGACTCTGTAGGAGTCTTCTAGGCGTACTCGACTACTCATTCCAGACTCCCGGATGATTTGGCAAACTTGCGCCAGATTTTTCCGTGAGACATCCCTCAACGAGATAATTTGGAGGGATTCTATAGGGATTGCGACGTTGAATAGGGCGTGCAGGTCGTCCGCTCTGAGCCCTGCCATGCTGAGGGCGAAAAACGACAGCTGCACTCTCGCAGTGTAGTCGAACGCTTGAAGCCAGAGACATTTCGGCTCCCTGAGCGTTGGGTTACCCGGCTGTTCGCCGCTCGTTGCTTGACTGGCTGGTCGACCTTGTCGGAACGACTTGGGTATGCACCATCGGCATCCACTAATGTCGAGGCTCCGAAGGCGCCCTTCTATACGGGTCACCACTTCGGTGAGCAGAGCGGCGCATTTGGTGTTTAGATTGAAGCCTGTGAGTTGGAGTTTCTCGAGCTCACCGCGAAGGACGAGTGGTCCAACAATGCGCTCGATGTCCGCGCATGTTCCTTCTGCATTTAAACGCACGCCTTGCACACTCAGCGAGGTCAGCTGCATGCTACGGGCCAGAAATTGAGAGAATATGGAAACTCCGTTTGGCCTGTACGAATGCAGGATGCTGACGTGCACGGACAGATTTTTGACTGTATTGTTTCGCATTAGCTCGCCTATTATGCGTGCCCCACCTTCCTCGTCTACAATGATTCCAGGCATCGATAGAGTGATGAGGTGCGTGGTGTACTCGAGGAGTGGACATATGGCGTCTATCAGGTATGGCGGCGCCACACTTGAACCGAGGATGACTATCTCTCGCAGGTAGGTCATTGTAGAGATGGCTACGAACAGGTCTTCTCGTATGCACCTGTGTGAAAAAAGGTGGCGAATTAAGGTATCCTAAGCAAAACTGGGAATAAGCAATGTCAGCAGAATGAACACCTTAGGACAGGAGCGTCATAAGAAGGTGCGCTGGCAACACAGAAGCGAAAAAGGCACCAAGTCTCTGGCACTCATGATAATTAAATGGGCTTTTTCACATGTGTCACAAATATTGTGTAAAACCGAACTGTCGAACTCTTGCGTCAAGAATGGCGTGTTGAAGTTCAATACAACTGATATCCAATGCAACTGAGATTAACGATTGGGAACGTGAATTCAATCAACGTGGCAGTGACCACCTCAGCTCGCTTCTATCAGAAAACATCCTCGGTATTTGCGCTCAGTCATGCAGTCATGAATATAAGCACGGGCAGGGTTCCCCTTCACGGGGGTGGTGAAGGTTCACTGCAGTGCACCCCCCCCCCCATTAGGTCAATTGATTGGACAGACTTTTCTCCCCCCTCTTATGCGACTAGAGGGGATGCCCCTGTTCCTTGCGCACTCATATGGTCTTGATGAGAACAAGAAGTTAAGGACCTAAGTATTTTATTTGTGTCAGCTCGTCCTTTCGTTATTCTTCAAAGCAGCTGTTTCTCTAAGCGAGTAAATCATAACTTGAGCGTTGTGCTACGTCGTGCCAATGAACTTAATATCTTTGTTTCTATAACTTCTCCCTGCAACAAATCTTCGTGAGTGGGGATTTTAAGATAAGTAACCACCGTATCCACCACGAAGGGCTGACATGCGCGGTGAACACTTATGTCTTTTGGCGCATGCGTATCGCACTGACTAGTAACCAGTGCTTTAAGAAGAGATGCCACTAAAAACAAAGCTTCCGTTAGAAAACTAGACATTTTCAAAACAACAAGTTTTAAGGAGTGTTTTGCTGAAGACCAGTGCTCTCGACCAAATAATGACATACGCTTAAGTTATTATTTGTTATAGCACAACTGAAACGCACAAATGCAGCCGTAAGAACACTTAGCTCGAACGCTCCGCCGCGTAGCCTCTACCCACTTCGACATACGTCCGCGTGGCTAGGCGTTGGACGTGGTATGTTTGTTGCAGCTAATGATAGATGGACCATGGGTTTATTTTTCTAGTAGGTCAGTTTCCCCGATGTCTAACAGGTGAGTCGAATACAACGACTAGGCAGGTCTGTTTTCACCACCATTTGTTCGGTATTGCACTTTCCCGCGCGCATAATAATTTCGTTTGCCGTATGCCTATCTTAACAATGAACCACTGTCGCATAATAATTTCGTTTGCCGTATGCCTATCTTAACAATGAACCACTGTGTGCGACAGCTCACGCACCTAGCAACGTGCCAAGCAGTACGGCAGCGAATTTTCTAGAGGTGCGCGAGAACATAGCCAGGAGCAAAAAGATACGAAAACAGACCTGCCAAGTTTGTATTTTGCCCTTCGCGGTCAGGCAAAAGGGAAAAGGGAAAGAAGTTAAGTACTGCAATCGACCCCCACTCCCCTATCCTTAGCTGCGGCAAGCACACAATGTCCCATGCTAGGCGGGGCTGGAAGCAGCCGAAGCTGATCAAGGCCACACCGCGAAGCGTTGGCGTTAGCGTGCTGATGGCTGTACAGTCGGCCAAGTCTTCAGCTATTGTTCAGGAGTGGCAATTTTTATGTGTATGTGTATCTTTGCCGTACGACTCGGACCGTACGACTTGACTCGGACATTTCGACCTCCGACTCCTTCAACCGTGCCGACGGTGTCTCCATAGAGAAACATACTTACATAAAGAGCGGACACTCCTGTAGGGCCCTGCAGCCCAGCTTGTGCGCTGATGTCAGCGCCACGAGTGGTTGGTCAGACCCGATAATGTCTTCACGATAAGTAAAATAAATTTTTTTTTGTCCGACGCTGAGATTTGAACCAGCACACTCATGCTTAGAAAGTGAGGATCTTGACCACTATATATAGGCTACACGCCCGTGCTTCCTCAAAGGGAATACACGTACAGTACATCTAAACCACATGAATATGCCTCTGTGTAAAACAAATGCAGAAAGACAACAATTTCTAGTCATATTTTACTGTAAGACATAAAAGTCCTCAGTGGGACATGATGCGGAATAGATATGGAAACTTGCACAAATAATTAAAATTTCCCATTTCCAAAAATTTATGCCAAATTTGGGTATTCATTGTCCTCCTGGGGAAGCTATTACATGCCTTAACAAATTTCCTAAGGTGTCCCAATTTTTCCCCCATTTGTTCTCTATTTCTGTCGTTCCTGTGCGGCGAGTGCATTCTCTTCTCTATCGTATCCTCTTCTGCGATCCCCTACAAGGCACTGCGCCGAGTCACCTCCAAGGAGACAGAAATGAAGTGCCCTTTTCTCTTCTGCAAGAACCACGCATTCAGTCGTTACAGCGTGAAAACCCGGAACAAGAAGCAAGCAGCTGACATCACATCCGAGTTACTGCAACCTAATTTGGTGTAATGGAACAAAGCAGTCTATTAGTAATCATATTATCTTAGAAAAAAAAGGCGCTACAATCTATTCCTAGCCTCCCTTTTAATGCCAATACTTCACAATTATTTGCTAAATACAATAATCAAGTTAAACCTGCTCTACGAATATTTTTTAGCAGTCTCTTTTATATCTGATATCATAAAAGGTCGCGGCTATATACGTTGTTTAGCTAACTTGCAATTAAATCCTTCAACGCGCCTAAACCGACACTCTGAATATTGGCAGGTGCCGAGACCGCGCACCAAGCATGGCTTTCAGACATTGAGTTATTGCTTGCCGAATATACTAAATAAATTAGGAATTAATTAGGAAAATGTTCGTATGCTCTCCAATATTTTTATTTTAAATATGCTTTATTAATTCGTGTGTAGTATTATTTTCTGTTTGATTACTTCTTTCTTTCAATGTATAGCATGTGCATTTTTGGTTAGTATAGTTTGCTTAAATTTTTCGTTCTGATGCAAAGCATATGCATTGCTAGTTTAAACTGTCCTGTGTTTAATTTGATTTTGCAGTTTTTTTTGCCACAGTTGCCGTGGGGATATGGAGCTTTGTCAAGCTGTTTTATACAGCTTTTTTCTTCTGTCCCAGCCACTTACTGTACAACTGTACGTGGTAAATAAACTAAACTCAAACGGTCCCGCGGCAGACGCATACGATGCGGAGAGCCGAAAGCGTGCGACGCGGCTCAGCCATGTTGCTCCTTCGTCGCTGATTGGCTACGTCGCTCTCTGACAAACGGCAAACGGTCAAAAAAAAAAAAAGGTCTCGAACCCATTCTTTGAACGGCCAAGAACGGCAGACGTGCGCAAAGGAAACTGCCCGTACGGCTACCCGAGAACGTCAAATGGCAAGGCATGCTTGCCGCTAGCGTGAACCGGCCCAGCTTGTATCGCCAGCGGGGCAGGCGTCGGCAGTGTTATATGGGAGGAAAAAAATTGAAGTAAGGATAAGATCGGAAATCACGGTGATCACCGGTATTTAACCCGGGCATTTTGCGTGGTACTCAAGCACTCTACTATAGCGCTAGTAATGCTTCAAACTGTTTCCAAAAAAAAAAAAACGTATAGCATCTTATTGCGGCAACGTTATAACTATAGCTGTGGTTGCAGTGTTCACTCTCGGCTTTTGCAACAATAAGAGGCACTCAACATACCAACTCCCATGACTTAGGCTTTGGCCAACCAGGAGCACTACGACGAAAACTGTTTCTTACTATCTGCACGCTTCACGCAGCAACGTGTACTCTATTCGAATAAAACTGAAATATGTTGAAGTAAGCAGCGAAAAAAAATGACACAAGCAAGAAACAAGTACATAAGACAAGCACCAACTTGTTCCTTGCTTTTGTCGTTATTGTTTCACGCTACCTGCTTTAACACGAATTCCCACAAACGAGTGTACCTACCTCTCCTCGTGACATCTGCGCTCCTTCGCGAGTACCACTGTTACACCATTCTGTGGTAAAACTCGTTCATGGCCTAGTTTGTTCGACATGCTTGAGATAAAGCGTTCTGCGAAAATAAGACACGTTCATAAGCGAAGCCACTGAATTGCGTCGTACAATCCGATACGTTGGGATGTCATTGAACTCGACGAGCCTTGCAAGCTCACGATCGAACCCGTGGGCAAGGGAGTGGGAGGGTGCTATATTAGCCACTTCGACTTCCAAATTGTTGCTTCCTCAAATAGGCATATTTTCTAAACAGCGAAGACATTGAGCAAGTACTTTCCCCGCGCCCTTCCAAACATTTTCTTTATCACTGCAAAGCTGAAACACAATCGAAACACGAGCTGGACCACCCCTGAACGACAAACAAAACACGCAGCTACTCACTTGTATTCGTAAAACAGACTGCCGATGGTCAGCGTCCGTAGGCTCGTGTTTTCCTCAAGTGCCGAGATGACAAACTCCCGGCACTCGCCCAGCTCACTGCCTTCGATGAGAGTGTCGTGCAGGTGGAGGCTCTCGACGCATCTGTGCTCTACCAGCAGGACGTGAAAGAGAAAGCGTGCGTCACGGCTTTGGGCTCGCTGCCTGCAACCACCCCTGCCTTTGTAGAAGACCCATACCAGGGATAGTTTTCCTGGACCTCGAAGTTCTTGCAACTGCAAGCAAACGTGCCACAAATAGTAATTCCAGCGGGACAGGTTGTCCAAGATGTGACAGATAGACGTGGAAGTGGTGTGGTCGTTCTGGTCACCGCTACGCTTCGCGCTGCAAGGAACGTTCAGGTCCGGAATGCGTTGGGTGATTTCAGCGGAATACAGCTCGTCTATCTCGATGGGCGTCTTGTCGCTCATGATGGGCAGTGGGATCGTAGGTAGTTGCTGAGCAAGGGCGCTTCCACTACTCATGGAAAAGACGCCCGAGCAAAGAACGAGGCGACACCTTAACGCATTGCTGGCTCGCTTATAAATCATTTCTTCCTTGGCCAGCGGACATGAATATACTTTCTTCTGGGCGATGACGTCACAACAGATATAAAGCTAACGCCGATTGTTTGACTATCAAGCAATAAATACAGTTCTAAGACTAAACTAGGACTAAATTTTTTTCTTGACATCTTATCGTCGGAGACGAAAATTATCGCAACGACGAATTCACATGACTGAACACCAGGGATGCTTTTTTCACCCTGGTGTCTCCACGCTATAGACACGCCATTTTTCGTTTTTTATATTTCAACTCTGCTTAGCATTAGGGGAAAGCAAAGTAAAGTATTACGTATTAGACACGCTAGTGTACCATAGCCTGAAAATGGCATGTCGGAGTGTGTTTGCATGTCGCAACAATACACATGAAGAACAGTGCACATAATTGGCAGAACTGTACCTCCCGAATGCGAATACAGATTCGTAGATAAAGACGCATGTCGATTGATTTGTGGGGTTTAACGTCCCAAAACCACCATGTGATTATGAGAGACGCCGTAGTGGAGGGCTCCGGAAATTTTGACCACCTGGGGTTCTTTAACGTGCACCCAAATCTGAGCACACGGGCCTACGACATTTCCGCCTCCATCAGAAATGCAGCCGCCGCAGCCGGGATTTGAACCCGCGCCCTGCGGGTCAGCAGATAAAGACGCATGTCACCTTATAGACTCTCCACATCATAACACGCCGTGACGTCGTCTTAAATCGGAACTGTCGGCATTAGACCGCAGACCATTTAGTATCAAAAAACTTCTGGGCACGTGGCCAACTGGTGGTTTACAGACATCACGCTTTAAAAGCAATAAAATGATTTTAAAAGACAGTGGAACTACTGGCAAGTACTAAAAAATAACCAAATTTTATTTGTGTAGCACAGGTCGTACTTATTAGATGATATCTATCATATGTGTGTGCGAGAGTGCACGGCGTGTCGAGTGTTATGAACACACGAGGGAATACATCTCCATAAGGACCGGACGTGTGCACTGCCATTTTGTGCAGGTTGAATTGCATGGTAACTAGGGACATTATTAGAGACATATTTATTGACTTTCGAACATTTTCTTATCTTTGTGTTGGTGTTGTTTGATATGTGCGTATCAGTGTGTTTTTGCATATGTGCGCTTTAAGATTTGTATTCAACATTAACTCAAGGGCTAAGGAGTAGCCGGCGCCTTACTTGTGCGCCAACATCTCCTTATATACAATATCAATAAAAAAAGTATACTGGCAAGTTGACGCGAGATGAAATTGTTCTACGACTTGGCTATACGTGTTTCAAAACGCGAGATTCGCATTTTAGAGGCTAAGCACCTTAGGGCCGAGGCTTGTCCATCCATGGTGTCCGTTGTCATGGCACGGAGGACCATGTGCAAGAAAAACCTTTGCTATGGTATAAGCATGTGGCGATCATGATTATAAGATAAATGTAATATTTGGAACTCAAAGCACTCCATAAATATCTGAATAAAAACATAATCAAATGAAATTTAAAGGCACAATGTTCCCAATGTCAACAAATCAGGCTATCGAAATTCATTGATTGATATATGGCGTTAAACGTCCCAAAACCTCCATATGATTTTATGAAAGATGGCGTAGGGGAGGGCACAGGAAAATTCGACCTCTTGGGGTTTTTTTAACGTGCACCCAAATCTGAGCACACGGCCCTACAGCATTTTTACTTCCATATAAAGTGCAGCCGCCGCAGCCGGGATTCGATCCCACGATTTGCGCGTCAGCAGCCGAGTAACTTAGACACTCGACCACCGTGGCGGGGCTGACTATCGCAATTCTGTAGATTGTGAACAGTCGGATATGGAAGGTGTCGACAGTGTCATACGAACTCTTTCACCAGTGGAGGAGGAGGGGGGGGGGTAATCTACATCACTGCCTAATATTATTATAACTTTGTTTTAGGTAGCATCCACTGAGACCACAACACATATATGCGCGGCATGCATGTTAACACTACACGCGACGCTTTTACGCATTACCTCACAACTTTCCGCATGAATACAATTATGTCAAAGGTGGTCTCTCTAGTATTATATATTTGTAACTTTCAATGAACATTTTAATGAACAAAAGCAGCTCACTAAGAATTGAGTTTTGAAATTCAAAACCAACCTTTAGGAGAGCAAAGGTATTTGGAGCATTTTATCTACTCATCTGGGCATCGACGAGTGTGTCTGGGTACTATCGTATATGGCTCAGAACCTTAATATAGACCAAAGTCGGCATAGGAGGGAATGAGGGTATGACGAAGGTAACTTTCTGATAGTGACATAAATGACGTGAAAATCAGGTCGTGTACGTCACGAATCTCTTTCGTTCAGTCAATTGTGTCACACACTTGCATACCACAGGCTTCGGCATGTGGAGATGTGCCCTCAAACTTCTATGTACCCAGTAACAGTGATTACAGTCTTTGGTAATTTGAGTGTGAGAGCCTTAAAAAATTTGACATCGTCTGCGTTTATAAGACGACTGCAAAGAAAAAAAATGAAGATGCCAGCAGGAATCAAACCCAAGCATGTCATGTGGCGGCTATGTATTCTGCTACAGAACTACACCAAGTCTTGAATATGCTTTTGGAAGTGTACTGTGCAGATATCAGATCCGTGTAACGTTCATTAAATTTATTGTGATAGCTAACTCTAACAAGGTATAAACATTGATAAGGTATAATAATAAGGTATAAACATTGCATATGTACTCGTTTCATACATGCACCATGTTGGGGTAACATCATTTATGACGTCTGTGTATGATCCACTTTTTTAACAATCTCATACCAATTAAATTACACTCGCACGACTCAGCAAGCTGCTCTCAAGCATTGCTCGGACAGAGGAATGCGCTGACAAATTATATTCAAAGCATCGAACTGCAGCGCACTCTTCATTACAATAAACTTTACGTCCTTGCAATAACATCAGTGCCGACGTTGTGTCAGATCACAAGTTTCTTATTGAACATCACTGTAGCCGGCGTACCTAGTGAGCGCAGGATTTGTGTGTCATTACTATATTTTATTTACAAAAACATGTCGATGTACCCCGTAACGAGTGTCTGAAAGAAAATAAGACATGTGGCATAAGGTACTCGCTGGCTGCTTCGCATGAAACCGATTCTGACAGTTCATGGGATCTGCCAAATTTTAACACGAAATCGATGTGTGCCGGAGTCCACTTAGACTTCAAAAACGTATTTCCGTCACGGCAACGTCATTGCAAAAATCTACGCAATCGTATTTCAAAGAAAAAGGTCCCGTCAATGGGCATCCAAACAATGACTGTCACAAGGGCCGAGCACGCTATCCACTGCGCAACGGCCACAGGCAATAGCTGTGTGCAAAAGCACCTTTTACATCTCGCATTCTCCTCTTGCAGTGTTCTTGGTCAGCGGGGAGGTATCGCCTCTTGGAGTAGTAAAGTGAAATAATTTATCTTTACTGTGGTCTCGGCAATCAGCAGCTGCAATGCGTACGATTACGCATCTGGTCCATTCGGCGAGTTTTCTTTACAAATGATATTTTGTCAATGACTTAACACACTGCGAGATGGTGGACTCAGCTCTAGCTGGCAGCATCCATCCAAACCAAAAATAGCGCAACGACGCACGCCTGCCTCACGTGGGGAGCTTTTCTCGCGGTGTCCAATTTGTGGACATGTCTAAATCGACGGAGCGCGTTCAGTTACGCATACAAATAATGATTCGTCACGTCATGGCACGCTTGATCACGTCGGCGCACCAAAGCCGCCAGCACATTCCCAGCGTAAAGATAATCTAAGAGGACGAAATGTACAGTTGCGAGATTTTAAACCAACTTGACAAGTCTTCGCGTCCGTACGAACGTGTTTATATGTTTCAAGAGCAATGCACGGAATGCGTAGACCTTTCAGGGGCGTCAAGCGGGTGGCCACGTTAAACCTAATTCAAGGGCTAATGTCACTAGAGTCTACACACAGCCTCAGAGATGCGCGTCTAAAAGCAGATGTCTGGGGGCAGCATTCGTTCTGGCGAAACGCATTCCATCTTTCTCATTTTCGTCAAGCGTTGTGGAAGCTGCGTGGCGTCAGTATGACGTTGCCGAAGAAATACCAGAAACAGGCGGTGGTCTCCAGCCCAACAGGGCAGGCCAAATCGGACATGTTCACAAATTTAACAGCGGAAAAATAACTCCCCTGTATGTAACGATGCATTTATCGGTTACGGACGTGTCGAAAAACATTACGGCCAGGCTACAGCGGAGGCAAAACGTGCTTAGCATTTCCCACTAGATACCTCACACATTAACAGGCCGTGGGATGGCGACTTTAGACCAATATCTACACCCAATATGCGACGCTGACCTCGCTATCACGCCTTTTCTCGGACTATGCTTTGGCCGCTAACATCCACAGATAGCACAATGGCTTCTTTATTAAATTGCTAATGAACATTAGTCGTCGGGAGGGAGAAGAAACACCATGCGTCAACATGGGGGCATTCAAGTTTAATGGTCTTATAGCTGCCAAACACGCAAACATACATTGGGTGAACCCTGCTAGATTTATGTACCGTAAACATTCAATTACCCATTCTAAGGCGCGTTTTACGTGCTTTACCGATTGATGGACATATAAACCGTGTATATTCATTGAGTTATTGCTCTTTAGCTTTTTCATAATAAGTTTTACACTTTATTGCATGTAATCAGGCTTGCTGTATTACCATTTGCCACAGCCACTACCCGTATTTTGTATATTGGCGTGTTTATGGAGGGCTCTAAGGCACCTTCATAAATACGCAATACAAGCGGTGTGACGAAAGTTTTTTTGAAAGAAAAAAAAGGTAGGCGATTCAAGCGTTAGACTATCCCTTGTTGCTTCCTTTCAAAATGGTCATTAGCTACGTATGACTGGTCGAGACATCTTGGGTCATGCACACAGCCCCGGCTCGTTCCGCGAGA